TAGTTCTCCTACCAGTATTTTCTCTTTTGCTTCCCGCTTTCAGGCCCAACACCCGGCGTGAACGTGTTAAACACTACTACTAGGTTTTGCAAACACTAAGTCTTCATCAAGTAGGGTAAATGTTAACAGCTTAAACTATGCAAAATGCCTTTTCATAACTTAATCTTTTTTGGTAAGTAGGTATTTTATTTATGCTATTCGTATAAATAAAATACCTACATAAATAAAATCGCATAAATAAAATACCTATTTTATTTATGTAGGTATTTTATTGTGCTATTCGCGGCGGTCAAGGAAACATCTCAGAAGATGATACGAAGACAACTGCAATTTCGATCCTCTTCAGAGGGAATGGTTCCACTGCTTTTAATATTTTCGGTGATTAGTCCTAGAGTCAAAATATCTGAATAACCTTGACTGATGTATCCAAGCTTGCGACAACATGATACATATTGATTAAAACAAAATTATTGGATTTTGAGTTAGCCTATGTTAAATGTTGGCCAATATGCAAATGAGAGTATCATTAACTCGATTGAAAGACAAGGAAGTGTTCGAGAAATTTAATTTTCATGCTTGTATCATTAATCTGTAAAAGCCAGTCTAATTAATGGAATGCAATAAAAAAAGAATTAGTCAATTTGAAATAAAATTTGCTATTAAACAACTATTTTTTGAGGTAAATATTTATAATAAAAGTGTTTACTTGATAATTTCTTTCTAGAGATACTTTGTTACCATTTAAATAAACTAACACTTTTCCACTCCAAACATATATGCTCATCTTGATGCCCTGGAATCTTCTTTCATTCCTATGAATACTTATTTCCTTGTTAATGACATTAATTCTTTACCAACTCTGAATAGCGCATAGAAATGCATTTTACCCTGATTTGCCCCTCTCGGTCACAATGGTTTTTCTCGTTCTGTTTCTTTCAAGTATATTTTTATTCTGTCTTGGCTACTGTGGTTTTTCTTGTTTAGTTTCTCACCTTCATTTCCCACTTTTCTTTGGCAACTTTCCGTTTCATATTGCAAATCACTTTTGTATCTTCTCAAACACGTCTGGCAATTCTTGAAAAAAGGGCGCTTATTTTCTTCCCTTGAAACAGGACAACTGTTACTTCCAATCTGTATATTTATGAAGCCAATGAAGTTTTTTAATCAAGTAACTACCACTTATTCATTTTTGATATTCTAATGTTTTATTTCACTTATTATAAGTTTATAAGAATCACTTATAAGTGTATGCTTCTTTTTTCTAGTGCGTTCACCCTACTTGGTACCTTTCAGCTGATTTTCAACTTCATGTTGTTTCGATTGCAGTTCTTTATCTATTACACAAGTAAGAAATGTTCTGTTTAGTTAAAAATATATTTTATAAAAATTTTCACGTATAAAACATATCCTGCAATTTCATTATTTTGTATGCATAAAATCCATTTCAATACTTAAATCTTATTAACCTAGAACAAAAACAAATTTGAATAAAAAACATACTTAGTAAATGTACAGCCTTTGGACTTGAATTTTAAATCAGAGAATTTAATTCGAAATTTAAGCAGTAAGAATATTGTAAAATAATTTAATTTTTAAAATGAAGATGTAGCTGTTTTATTTCTAAAAAAATTTAATATTTTTATGTTAAAATATTACAAAAAATGATATTTATTAGGTTTTTAAACTGATTAAAAATAAATAAATAAGAATTCATTTTTTCATCTACGAAAATTAATGTTCTTGACTCTAAATTTTCGTGACTTATTTAGGTGGCCGAAGCTGGGACTTTCTTTCATCGCTGCAATAATTATCTCTTGCAATGTTATCGTCGGAATCCTAACTTATTTGCGAGATATTCCACCTATTATCCTTATTACATCTGGGAATAACGTGTAAGTATTTTGATGCACTCTTTGACCGAGAAAATGTAATACCAGGTAGATATTTAGCATAATTTTTCTTCTAAAACTTGTGTAATTTTCTCATTAGACATCCTGAAATATAAGCTTATAAGAATGAAAGTTTCTTTATCTTTAGCTCAAATTCATACCTACATCAGTTATTATTAAGCCTAATCAAACGTCTATCATTGATTAAGCAAATTTATGAATTAATTGTTATTGTAAATAAAATTCTTTGAGTATTGTAAACGAAAGAATATCTAAAGCTGCATTATTTATCTTTTCTAGTTGGATTTTTAATTTTATTTTTGATTGAATTCAGTAACCAGGAAATCTTTAATCTGGGAACCATAAACTTCAGTAACCTGTGAGTAATTGAGATTTTGCATTGAGACTTTTCTTGCTAATGTGTTATTCTGCATTACTGTCAATTAGGCTAATTTTCTCAAAATACTTCGATCATTAGATACAAAATATCCTTCAACGAAAAACGAAATGAAGCCTTTTTTCAGATTTCAGATTTATTTTGTTTTAAACACGGGATTCTAATTTTAAATTTTAAACTAGTATCTTGTCTGCATTACTGTCAATGAGACGAAATACCTCCAATTTCTTTATGCCATAAAGAACATGTGGTTGAAATTTGAGACTTATGCCTTGTTAAAAACGTGTAATTTAGCAAAACTGCTAGTTAGGCTAAATACCTCAATAATTAAAAATATCGAAATGAAACTTTTTAATTTTACTGATTTGCTGCATAAAGAACATATGTTCCAAATTTTAGCTACCTAACTTCATCGAAAATAGGAGAATTAATAATAAGTGAGTGATTAAATGAATGTTTTGTCTTTAAGGGAAGGTAGGGGACATCAAAAGGATTTAGAATTGCTTTGCAACCCGGGATTGGAAAGTAGTATGACAAGTACACGAAACAAAGAGACACAAGACTGAGATCATCTAAAATATTTATCAGTTAAAGATATCACATGTGTTGTGGCAGATGATACGTGAAAATGTCACAAAAGATGTTCAAAGTTTCAACAATCGCTAGCGATGCATGCATTACACCGCCGGGGCATGGATTAGCGAAATACGTTACTCAAATGCACCTGGATTTTTTTTCTTCATATCCGCAGCAGTTCAGACGATTCTTGCAACCAGATCAATATCGGAATCTACAGATGTTGCGTGCATGGCGCTTTTCAATGCAACTTAAGGAAAGAAAACAATGTTGTTTATATCTGGAGAGCGTGGTGGCCAAGAAACCAGTTCACAAAGCCCAATCCATCTTGTTAATAACACTACCTAGTGGCGAACGAAGATGTTTCCAACCATGGATCGAAGATGTTTCCGATGCAAATCTGAATCCTTGTGATGTCCCCTGCCTCCCTTTAAAGTTTGTCCCAATAATCCTGGTGTCCTTGTGTACAGATTAAAAATCGCTTTATTAGTAAATCATAGTCTATATTTACCCTAGCCTACTAATAGTTAGATTTATGAAATATTATACGCATATGCATTTGAAAATTAAAATATAATTTGATTAATAATAATTAAGTTGAATGCATTTAAAAAAACATTAGGCTTATCAAATGGACATCTTACATTCTTCTTCAAGAGTTTCATATGCATAACATACTGGCAAGATTTGAAATCCAATCAATATCTTTTTTACTTTTTAGAAAAATAGAAGAAACAGTAGAAATTGTACATATTCGGACATTCACACATGCTGGCCCTTACTATATTGGCATTGTCGTTGGATACATGATGATTCATTACAACAACTTTAAAATTCCTAAAGTAAGTCAGTTAAAGTAAGCCTCCTACATCAGAAAGCCTCCACACGGTTTTTTTACAAGTAGTCAGGGCAGACTATTTAAAAAGTTTACCAGTGAGCATGAATCCAAACTCTTTTTCAAAAGTAATTAAGAGAAATTTATCATACATATTTCAGAACTGAATCTGTAGTGGTTGACAAGTAAATAAGCAATCATATCAAACAAACAAACCAATCAGTCAATCAAACAAATCAATCAATCAACAAACCATATTCAAAAATGCTTCTTTCGTAAGCTTGTTAACCTTCATAGTGGTCTGATTGAACTACCTACAAAAAACCGTGTGGAAGCTTTCAGTTATAGGAGGCGTTGATGAAAATTGTATACAGAAGAACTAAACTGTAATCTTTGCTGACTTTTCAAAAATTTGCACGAAATTCACTATTTATTTAGGTTTTTAACGCATCTGGATGGGTTGTATCAACTGCTTTCGCTTTGCTGTCTATATATGGAGCCCATAGATGGAATATTGGAGAGCCCCATGGGATGTTGCTAACAGCAGTTTTCGCCGCTGCTCACCGGAGCACATATACACTGAGCATCGCATGGGTTACTTTTGTTTGCGTAACTGGAAATGGAGGTAAAATTTTTCAAATGCTTCTTGTTCTTTTAAAAGCATATTTTATTTAATAACAATTGTTAAAAATAAATTCTTTCTTTTAATATTACTTAATTTAAAAAAAAACTCGATTGGTTTCAAAAATATGCAGATGAAAATAAAAGTCAACATGTTTCAAGTGCTCAAAAATTGGCTCCAAAATTTTTAAAACTTGCTAGACGTGAAAGAGAAGAAACAAAAGTGATTTGAAATATAAAACGTAAAGTTGCTAACGAAAAATTGAAAACAAAAGTGAAAAATGGCATGCTGAAAGAGCCATATTTGTTTACGAGTTTTTTTTTTCCTAAGTTCTTATTTTTTTTTGTAGGAAAAAATGACCACATTTCTGTAGACAGCTTCACGATATATTGCATACCTGCCAACTTATACGCATTTGGCGTAAAATTTATTTTTATATTTAAAGTGGTAGTAAATATATACTATTTTTTCTTTTAAAAATTAAATTTTTAAATGATTTTCATCACCACTATTCTTAAAAAAATTAAGCATATATATTAATATGTGTTACTATCATGGTAGGCAGCTTAAGCTTTTTCGAATACAACGTATTTTTTTGCTTAAAATTGAAATTTGTATTCCATTTTAATACCACTGGGAAAAATCATAATGGAAGGGATTAAAAGTTGGCAGGTATGCGATTGCCTGATGAAAATAACTACGAAGTTAAAATGTGACATGCAGAAAGAGCCATTTTTATTGGTGAACTCAACGTGATTTTTTTTTTTTTTTTGGGGGGNTTCCAATTTTTTTTTTTTTTTTTTTTTGTAGACGTAATTGTTTCGTAAAATTTATCAGTTTAATCAATTATCTTGATCAGTTTAGGGGACTGAAACTTACTTGGTTTTAATTAGGCTGTGATAAGTTTGCCAACTCAATCTTTTGAAATTATTTTCAAATAATCGACTATGATCTTGAAACTTGCTGTTCTGTAGGTAATGGGGTCGATACCTAAGCTTAGTTAGGCGTCACTGTCGGCCATCATAAATCGCAAATTAAGAAAGTTCATATTCTTCAGAAATGTAATTTTCAGATAATTAAGTAAATTCACCTATTTTGTTTAGCAGGAGTCNCAGCCCTTCTATTCTCTTTAGCCCTGAGTTAAATCAGTTTAATCAATTATCTTGATCAGTTTAGGGTACTGAAACTTACTTGGTTTTAAATAGGCTATGATAAGTTTACTAACTCAATCTGACAAGCATATTGAAATTATTGTCAAATAATCAACGATGATCTTGAAACTTGCTCTTCTGTAGGTACTGGGGTCGATAGCTAAGCTTAGAAGGGCGTCGCTGTCCTCCATCATAAATCGCAAATTAAGAAAGTTCATATTCTTCAGAAATGTAATTTTCAGATAATTAAGTAAACTCACTTATTTTGTTTAGCAGGAGTCTTCTGTCATCGATTATACCACTTCTTACACAAATAAAATCACAATTTACCCTAATTTTCCAGAATTTACGGAGCACTCATTAACGATAACAACACTTTGTCTGGCTTGTTGCCAACCATGAATGGAGTAAAAATATCAATTATTGGTGCTTCATCAATTAATAACACCCATTAACCCCTTGGGGACGGGTGATTCATTAAAGCATTTGTACAAAATCAGAATTAGGATGTAAATAAATAAAAAACGGTAGCTTAAATGTAGGCTTTGCTAATTTGACAGACTTACTTAGCTTTTACTTTAATTATTATTAGTTTAATCATATATATAATCAATGTTAGTTACTAAATAATTTCATTTTGAGCTAAGTAATGGTGAATTAAATAAATCAAACAATTATAGCCCCACCCGCAAATAAACTGCTAAAGAGATACTTTGGTTACCAGTTTTATCTTTTTACCCCGATTGATACGGCGCGCAAGGGTTAAAGTGCGTATGAAGGCTCGATTCGGTTTGATCTTGAACGAAAGTAATTATTTATGCAATTTAAATGTTTTTCAGCTCCGAATTCGGATAGGTATTGTATTACAGTACAATTTTTACGTAACAAGGAGTAACTCAGTTCCTGCCCCACCTGGGCCGGAGAAAAAATCAAAATAAAATATAAAAAAATGAGTTATTAAATAAATAAAATAAAATTTATTGGTTGGAATAAATGAAGTTGGCGGAAATGTTCCTCTGAAATAAAACCATTGCTGTTAACGTAGCATATTTCAATAAAATATAATAATATGTTATTCAGAATAAAAAATGAATTAATAACGTGAAATTTGCAGACAGAACATCATTATGGAGTATAAAAATGAGACAGCAAAATAAAATAACTTTAGATAAAACTTCAGAGCAAATAAAATGTGAGAATTATAAACTTGAATAACAAAGTGCACTATCTCATTATTTTTTATAAATAATAAAGAAGTTTTAAGAAAAACACTAAATAAAGAATTTTAAAAAAATGTGTGCAATTTATTTTGTCTATACAGTTTTGAAAAACACCAATAAACTGTTCAAAGTTTAGTTTCATACTACTTAGTCAAACTCTTAAAATTTCCTCGTGATTAATTTTTTTATTTCATTTCTTAATCTCCCCAAACGAATGCTTTTTTCTTAACTTTCTCATACAAAAGTTTTATAATTCTTTCCAGTATGCCTCGTTCACTTTGAAAAGTCATTAAAATTAATAACTGTCCTGTTTTGAAAAGTTTTTTTCAATTTATTAAAAGAAATTCGAAACAAGACAACAATTTTTTTAATGTTAAATTTATTGTTCTGATATAATTTAAACAACCGTTGACAGTATCGCAAATTTTTACTATTTTCGGTTTTTCTCTTTATTAAGTTCTTTCTAGTTATTATTATAAATTGTATGAAGTACTTTAAGCAATAGGTATACTATTATTTATCTAATACTATCCCAAGGAAAACCGAAAATGAGAAAATTACAGATACTGCCATCTTGATTTGGAAGGCAAAATAATGTTATATCAAAATTATATAAAGTGTACAGTAAGTATAAAAGTGATATTAAGAATCTCTAATATACTCAGAAACTCCAATTTTTGCAATCCTCGGTTTTCCTTTTTATTACTATAGCCTACTTCACAGGTTGTGTTATTCCTACTAAATTTAACCCATGAACGGCATTTTCTGCGAGCCTAACTTCAAGCCACAAATAAACAAACGAAGTGTTTGATCGTTTAAATAGCTGCTCGCCAGATTTTATTGCATTATAAAGAAAAGTAATTGATATTCGATTTTTGATTAATAATTGATTTATGTGGATAGTGGCATAGAATTTAGCATTGCGTCATGGTAAATGTTATTCCTACTTAGTGGAAGTAGTTGTGTTTTTTTTAATATTATACCCAATTCTTAATAAATAGTGTCAGGTACTTAAGGTAATAGGTATTTATTATAAAAACTTATTATAAGTAACTTCTTCTTTCTTCTTTATTGATTCGGCAGCCCCTTCCGGGCCAAGACCTTCTTTAGAATCTTTTTTCCATACCATAAGTATCACGAACATAATAAAGAGGAATACTGAAAATGGAAAATAACTGAAGATAGTGCTTTTGTGCATAAAGCGGCACTATTTGAGTGAAACAATCTGTTGTGAATAGGACTGGGCTATAAATCGATATATCGCGACATATCGATTTAACGTCTGTATCGGCAGGCTGATACAGCGACTTTCGTTCCAGGCGATGCATCAGAAATCTGATTTAAGCCGTCGAGTAAAGAAGACGAACGATATAGCGATATACGATATAGCGATACAAGACACGAAAGGATCTCTTACGTTCCAAAGCCAACTCGCGCTGGGGAAGACGATGTACGTATCGTTATATTGAAACGGCCTTGATTGATGAGCGGTAGAATCAGAATCAGTTTTAAGAACATATATCGTGATCTCGCATGTTCGTTTCCGCACCTCTTAGTTTTTTTTTCTTCTTTGTCGCGACTTAATATCGTTTCTTGTAGATTATTTTCAGTGACTTCGTGATCGTTACCCTGTTCTGAACGTAATCTATTATTGAAAAGAATATATAAAGAAGTGTTTCTTAATTAATTAGGAAATTTTTTTTTGAAACAAAGCTTTCTTTTTTATTTTTAAATGGGAAAATTAATTTTGATATTACATGTTTAAGTATTATTTTACATTATTGAATTTATTACAAACGGAAATCTAATTTAAGGTGACCATAAGGAATTAAATTAAAAAGTAATTAAAATTGTTAGGCTATTTTTTAATTTATTAAAAACTTTTTGGATAAAATAATAATTTAATGGGTTTTTATTACTGAGTTTAAATTTATAAATCTTTAGTTGTTTTCATTTTTATAAATAAAATTATAACAAAACTTATTTTTCCTCTTTTGGATTTGGACATAAGTCCATCAACTTCGTTTATTCAAAAAAATTAGTAATGTTTGCGATTGTGACTTCTTTTTTTAAAATCATTTAGCACTTCGTTTTATTAAAGAGTATAATCGTGTTTTTTAATTTTCTTTCAATATTGTCAGTTGAATATATTATCGAATATCATAATTCTTTTGTTTTATTTTTAAGAAATTAAACTTTACTTTTTTTTCGTTCAGAATTCGGTAATTGTTCAATTTAACTTTATTATTTATGTGAAATAATAATGATAAAAAATAGTGTTGTTTTAAAAGTGTTTTTTTTTTCTTTTTGTTTAATTTATTTAGCACTTTGTTTTAAGCACACAAATAATTTTTAACGAATTTATTTTTTAAATTTTCTTTCTATATTGTTCGGTAAATATATTGATAAATTTCAATTTTATTTATTTTTTTATTATTTATTTTTAAATCTTTCGTTATTTGCGCGATCATTTTTAGAAAATATAACATTAATATCTTTCTCAAGCAAAACATATACATCAAATTTATAAATTGATTTAAATCAATCTGAGTATGAAGTTTTGATAGAAATCCGACCTTCTGCTCCTTACAAGTAAATGAATTTCAAAAATACTATATCGCGATACATCGCTTTATCACGTGCAAAACTGACGATGCATCACGATATAAAATTTCTTATATCGCCCAGTCCTAGTTGTGAAAAATATTCCGACTAAAATCAATTTAAACTCAAATGTCAAAGCTCTAGAATATCTGTCACTTTAACTCTTAAAAGTATGAAAACAACTATATAGTTTAACACTTACACCGCGACAGTGACACGCCTTTTTGTCCCACCCTCTGCACTTTAGAGTTCCCCCGCAGAACTAAAATTGAAGAAAAAACACAAATTCTTTTAAAACTTGTTTATTCTACTTTGAAAAATAATAATCTGAAAATAATAGCCTGCCAATTATTACGCTTTTTGAAAAATATTTCATAGAGTGGTAGAGATTTTAAAAAACAAAGCTTTTAGAAAGTGTGGTAATTTTGCCAACATTTTAAAAGCCTCATCTGGAATAAGTTGGAACAAAGTGCAGAGATACCAACTTTCTCCGGACAGCAAATATATATTTAAAAGTGGTAGTTTATCAATTGTGTTTCTTCGTTTAATAAATTCAATTTAGTAGATTTTTATCCACCACTATTTCTAAATAAATCGTAGGCTTATATAATTCACCACTTTATATTAGTTTGTCATGCTATACCTTCTAAAAAGCAAGCAAAAAAATAAATTATTTCCAAAATTTACTTTAAGTTATTTACCGTTTTTTAAATTATTTTGGCGTGTTCGGAGCAGTTGGCATCTCTGAAAGTGAGATTTATGATTATGATTTATGAGATTTTTAATCACTTGTACGCAGTGGTGCGGAAAACAAGTTAAAATTAATTTTAAAAAAATGCATCATTAAAACCTAAACATAGCTACCATTAGAATAAATTTTCACAAAAAGCGTGAAATGGTAGCAGCCCTGATTATTAATAGCCATATTCACTAATACAATAATAAAGCACCGCGAATATTCCTGGAAAACAAGTCCGTCATGACGCAAGCGTTAAGACATGCTCATAAAAGAATTTTGTTTGCTATCGTAACCAGATCGTTTTTAAATTCGAGAGAAGTGTTAATTTGAATTTTTTTTCCGTTAGGACTTGTGAACCGCCTCCTATCCTCAGCGAAACTAGCGCCTCTGAGCAGGTTGACATTCATGATGTATTTATTGCACAGTCTCGTTATCTGGACAAGAAACGGTTCCCTCAGGGAACGAATGTTCTTCAGTCATTATAATGTGGTGAGTACAGAATGCATGTTAATTGCTTTTTTAACCCTAATTCGAACGATAAGCGGAGAAACGTTTCCAGTGAAAGGAAAAACCAATGTGAAATTAGCTATTAAAAAAAAAAAACTCGTTCTTTTTATTTATTATTTTAAAATAAAAAACATAATTTGACCGTATGCAGTTCGCAAAATAAAAAGCGGACCATCCTGAATTACTTTTGATCTAATGATCGGATCTTTGTGTTCTAGTATTCAATCTTAAAGGTTCAAGGCTCAATTATACTAACTAATTAATACAGACGATAATTTAAGATACGAAATCAGGCCCAAAACGTACTTTCTCTGAATAAACATACCTTTTTTTTCCTCTGCGGATTCGGATTTCTGACTCCCAAAATATGGGGATAAACCCAATCTGAAAATATGGTCCCAAGAGTTTTGTCGGGAGAGCTGTCCGTCAAAGTTTGGATACCTGAATGTTAATCTGTGTAGGGACCGAGGATGTGCTGTATAGGTCCTCGTAAAACTGTTCTACCGTAAAGTGCCCGACTTCGCGTGCAGGTCGTCAGGCTAGAGAAGCGGGGGTGCCATCCCTTCTGCCCATTGTGCAGCTCTAATGTGACGTAAATGAACTACTACTCCCTGTATGTTAATTTTGCTTTTTTCGTATTTCACCACATCACGAAAATAGTTTAAGCGAATTTAAATATTTTTGCACGCAAATATAAATTTATTTTTTCCAATGATAATTCCATGAAAAATAAAACTTATGGCAAATATTTGTTATTTTCTTCATTATTTTATTTAATAACAGTCGGAACATTTTTGAATTGTAAGGTATACAATTTTTTACATCATTTTAAAGAGTGCAGTTTTAAATGGCAAAGTTTTAAATGGCATATTTGAGTGAAATCGGTCAAAAAAGTCCTGAGAAATCGAATTTTGAAAATTTCCCCCCATATTTTGAGGGTTACGAATCCGAAACAGTTGAAAAAAATGTGTTTTTATTAAGAGAAAGTACGTTTTTGTGTCTGATTTCGTAACTAAAAACATCGTCTGCAATAATTAATTAGCATATGTGAGATCACGTCTTCGATCCATTAAAGTTGAGTCCTAGAACGTGAAGATCCGATCATTAGTTCAAAAGTTATTTAGAGTGAGCGCTATTTTTTTTTCGTGCTGTGCATATTTATCGTATTAAAAATATAAACACGGAATACATTTTTGTTTATTTTCCTATTATGTCTATAACGGTCATCGAATAAATTGGACACTAAATACTGAGATACAAAAATTTTAAAATTCTGAATTTCAGAGTGGTTGTTTGCGTTGTCCCCTCTGATCAAACTGTTATAGCTTAACATTTTTAGGATGTTATTGTTTGGAATTCAGAAATAGTCCAATATAATACAATTTTGAATTTAAGAAACTGGACTTTAAGAAAACCTTCTTTTTATTTATTATGTACATAAACATTTGTTTAATATTTTGAACTACGAAAATTTGTAAAGAAAAGTGAAAAGCACAAAATAAATTTCTGATCTAGAATGGAACGACTTTTCAGAAAAAATAATTTAAAGCATTAGCAACTTGGTGAGATGCCAGGGACCTTTTTCAGATCAAGTTTTGCATATAAATTGCTTTTGAAATAGAAATGGGTCCAACATCGATATTTCTATGACTATTTCTGGGAAGAAAATAAAGTTTTATATTAGTATCGCATACCGCTTACACTTTGAAAACTTTGAGTTTATTTCATTATAAATTTTTCTGAAATAGATTTGAATAAAAATACAACGGATTTATTTTCAACAGATGTGGCATAAACAAATAAAATGTTTATTACAAAACAGTGGTAAGCCACTCTTTTATTTGTTATGTACTATGAAATTTTTTTAAAAAAGAGAATAGTATTTCTTATGAGTTACTGGCATAGTAAAGGCTCAAAAGAATTGTACTGAGACTATGAATGAGACAGGATAAGTATTTTTCTGATTTTATCTTTTCCCTAAAATCATATCATGAAAGGGAAATTTTTGATATGAAAACGTTAAAAAAAAGTTCTCTTTTACGTACCACAGTATGTAGTGCACAGGACTGCTAACTATTACTTTTATTGCTCATTATTTTATTGAGTGGTAGACAATCGGAAACAAAAGATTTTAGTATTTTGGTTAAATTTGTTAGATTTTCATAGCCTTTTCGCAAAAGAAAGAAAGAAAAATCGCTTTTTATATAAACTTTTGAATTATTCAAATGTAGTGGCATGAGCTGTGATGGCTCAGGGGATAGAGCGTTCGCCTTCCAATGAGGTGAACCGGGTTCGAATCCCAGCTTGGGCTGCTCGATACGAATTCCGCATCCGGCATGTACCAACCACAGTGTTGATGTAAAATATTCTCATTGGTAGACGGAATCATAGGTAAGAGTCCTCTTGCCGTCGAGCTAACAGTGGGAGGTTTTCGTAGTTTTCCTCTCCATTTGACTCAAATGGGGGTTAGTTCCCTCAAAAGGTCCTCCGCGAAGGCAAATTTCTCTCAGTACTTAACACTAGATTGCCTAAGGAAGTCATTTTGACTGCTTTTAATTTCAATTAGAAAAACAATGATGTATATAATGACACAATTTCTTAGAATTTTGTGACTTTTTGTACAACATATAATTTTTTGTTGTTGTTAATATTTANTATTGCTCATTATTTTATTGAGTGGTAGACAATCGGAAACAAAAGTTTTTAGTATTTTGGTTAATTTTACCAAAGATTTTCATAGCCTTTTCACAAAAGAAAGAAAAAAAATCGCTTTTTATATAAACTTTGGAATTATTCATATGTAGTGGTGTGAGCCGTGATGGCTCAGGGGATAGAGCGTTCGCCTTCCAATGAGGTGAACCGGGTTCGAATCCCAACTAGGGCTGTTCGATACGAATTCCGCATCCGGCATGTACCAACCACAGTGTTGGTGTAAAATATTCTCATTGGTAGACGGAATCATAGGTTAGAGTCCCCTTGCCGTCGGGCTAACAGTGGGAGGTTTTCGTGGTTTTCCTCTCCATTTGACTCAAATGGGTGTTAGTTCCCTTAAAAGGTCCTCCACGAAGGCAAATTTCTCTCAGTACTTAATCCAGGAGTTCCCTTGTGTTCTGGATTGGGTTAAAAATTTCAAGACTACGAAGTTGAACATTAGTAGTCGTAAACGAGGAAAAAAAAATTGGGTCGGCTGTTCAACGACGGTAATAAAATAAATCTAATTTGAAATCCAATTTACTAAACAAAGAATAACACATTAAAACTTGAAATACCACTAGAAGAAATTAGCCGAAAAGAGCAGAAAGTTGCAATACACTGTACATTGGATAATATACAGTGCATGTATATTATACAATAGTATTAGCATTGAAAATTGAACAAGTATCGTAACTGGGTTCCTTTTCCTAGTTCGTAAGATTGCTTTAGGGGTATCATGAGTTATTGGAATGCAAATAGTATTGTGGAGAATGAGAGAATTTCGAAGAGATGTCAATTGCTCCGGATCGGACAAAATATTTTAATTAACTCTAGAGAACTACAAACTAAAATTTGCTGATTTTCGGTTAATTTTACTAATTTTTTAAAATGCTCAACATGGTAACAAACATGGTAGTGGTAACAAAGTGGTGTATCACATAAGCCCTTGAATTATTTAGAAGTAGCGGTAAATAAAATCTCTATATACCGAATTTACTAAACCAAGGATCATACGTTAAAAGACTACCACTAGAAAATATTTATCCGCCCCATAGGGAACTAACAGGATCTGATTTCGATTAAAATATTTATCTTTAAATTTTCAGCATGTAACGGTAAACAAAATTGTCTTATGTAAATCAATTAGTAACCATTTTTTACTTATTTGACGCAGGAATATCAATCCTCTGATATGTTGTTTCCTTAACACGTTCACGCCGGGGTGACCCACCGGTGGGTCACGCTAGATTGTCTCATCTTGGCAGCGCACCGGAGTAAAATCTGGTAACAATAAATTTCATTTTTTAGTTTTTTTCCGGTACTAATAAAAATCCATAACTACCAATTCTTTTTAGCGGATGCAATTTTTATATTGAATTGCTTCTTCTCCGTGATAAATTTTCTTGCAGGGAATTGTTAATGTTGAGAATAGATTAACTCCTCCCGAGTATTATCTAATATTGAAATAGTTCTCCTACCAGTATTTTATCTTTTCCCGTACCAGTATTTTCACTTTTCCCGGCATGAACGTGTTAATTGCATGGCATCATCACATTGACTTTCACAAACATGAAACTTAATCCGTCCTATTTCACGCCAAATCATTGAACTATAATTTTTCTTTTTGCTAGCTTTACGAGTACACAGCAAATTTGGTGGTGACCTTCTTGCTGGCGATACCCTTTTACCTTCTGTTGGAAGCTCCCCTCTCCAACTTAGAGAGGCTTCTCTTTTCCAGTCTGCAAAAGAAAGATAAAAGAACAGATCAAGACGCAGAGATCACAATCGCTCACAAAGAAAATGGCCATTTGAGAGAGAACGTCGTTCATTATGCTCAAGAGTTCTTACCAAGAAAGAGAGAGAATGCATTTGCGTCGCCTGTACAATTGACAGCAATTAAAAACCTGGATATCATTCCAAATGGAGTGTCTCTGAGCAAGAGCTAGTTTTTGTTCTTGCATGCAGACCAGAGTTTATGTCTGGTACCATCGTTTTAATTTCTCAGGGTGCTATTGTATTGAAACACTTGTTCAATGTTTATTTGTTTCTGTGTCAAGTTTTCGTGTTTTTTTTATAATCCAATAAATATTCATTTTTTGAAACGTTAACTATTCGTTTTCGCGTGGATTTATTTTCTTGAATTAGAGAAGAACATTTTTCTTACATATCGCATCATTAATTTACTAAGTGTATGATAAACAGTATTAAACTTCGCACTATATTTTGCCAGGAAACTACAGTATCTTAATTTTTATTAATTGCAGTTAAAAAAATTATTTATTACACAAAAAGTTAATTATAATATAAGAATCTAGAGCTTTTCAATAATTATCAAATTACAAATAAATATTTGCGAATTATGTTTTTAATAATATTTCATTTCATCTCAAATGTACGTCAAATTCATGAATTCCTCTGACGAAATTTCAATGATTATTTTATTAAAGTAAAACTAAACTCAGTGGCGCTACAGCCCATAGAGGACCAAGGCCTACTGTGCCCATCTCAGTTTTCCTGACCTTTGGACCCTGGGGTGCAAGAGCAGATGTTCCTGTTGGGTGATCAGCCCAATGCGGAATCCCCATTGCTTAGTTTCCAAGCATGGAAACTCATTTTATAGAACTACTGAAGGGATGAAAGGATGAGTCAACCTTGCCCGGCCCGAGGATCGAGCCAAGGATCTGTGGCATGACAGCGCAAAGCGCTACCACTCAGTCACCGGGTTTTTTTCCTTTTTTTTTTATTAAAGTAAGCAATTATTAAAACGATATCTCTAAGCGCAAAATATATTTAATTTAGATTGAAAAAAAAATGTGAAAACGATAAAGAAGTTGTACTTAAGTTTCATATGTATATTTTTGTTAAAATGATTCTCTCATTTTCAAATAGCTTAAATGTTTGTAGTGTATCCAATTCATCTTCAATTTATGTATCCAATTTATGTATTGTTCACATAATGTGATGTAACCATATTGTTTAAATTCATTCAACAAATTTGCGTAACTAATAAAACAAAAATCTGATTTTTGAAAAACAAATTTTATATCATTTATGGTTTTATAAAAATCTTTATTTTGGCCTGTAATCATACAACTACGATTTCTTATAAATCTGAAGCCTTATAAGGTAGAACTGGAAAAGTATTAACTTCCCAGTTCTGACTTTAACTAAAAATTTGAAAAGTCCGAATGTCCTATCTCAATTTTTATTAAGTCATTTTTACGTTACTATAAAAATGTGCATCATCATGCCTTCAGTCGAAGATGTGTTAAATAAACAAAAACATACCTATCAGCAAATTAAAATCTTAATAATTTTTGAGTAAAATTTCTCTTAGTATAAAAAACATGAAGAAAAAAACAATCTTTTTTAATATATCTAAATACAATTTATTAAAATATAATTCAGTATTAAATTTAGAAAAAAAGTTTTAACTAATATAAACAATTCTGAATGATTTCTAACCTAAACAACATCTACATTATAAAAGCCTGCTATATTGTTTATGAAGTTAATTGTATCAAAAATGGGTTATTGCGGGTGCTTATTTGGAACTAATTATCTTTATACAGCAATTCAATTGTTGTTATTTTTTTAATGTTATTAATTTTGTTAAGACGAAAACCTCTGCAATATGCACGTAGTATTGCTTTTGAAATAAAGTTTTAGTTGAAAACTAATTTAATTAATTATGGAGATATGTAAGTTAAACTTCTATGCGTTATTCAGACACAGAAATTTCTTTGTACTCTTTGTAATCACATTGTGTTAATTGATTGGTAATTTTAACCATATGTCAGTCGTCGGGATAGCAAATTCTTCACATTGAAAATGAAATGTAAAGGTATTTTTAAAACTTGTCATATGTTGCAAAGTGTTACTTTAAAATATATATCAATGAATTGCTTATAAGAATAGTACCCATAAACTTGAATGACTCGAAGACTATATTTAAAGACAAAGTTCACAATGTATTTATTCATACACACACACACACACACACACACACACACATATACACCCCACA